TTCTGTTGGAATTGTGTATTTCAATGGCTTCTCTGTGTAGTCTGACAAGGTGGTTGTGAGAGTGGTCCAGCATTTCTGTGTTCTCAAATAATATGCTGTGTCCAGGTTGGTTCATCAGGTGCTCTGCTATAGCTGACTTCTCTGGTTGAGTTAATCTGCAGTGCCTTTCATGTTCCTTGATTTGTGTTTGGGCAATGCTGCGTTTGGTGGTCCCTATGTAGACTTGTCCACAGCTGCGTGATATATGGTAGGCTGATCACCTCTCAACAAAAGATTCCCCCAGGCACTGCCAAGCCATCAAATGCTAATTAAGGTGGTCAGTTGAAACATTCACACCTAGCTCCAGCAGACAAAAGTCCTTTGTCCCACCCTGGTCATTCCACAGATATATAAACCCATTTTCCTACTTCCAACAGACCTCACTACCTCTGAGGATGCTTGCCAGAGATGCAGGCGAAACGTCAGGAGAGAATGCCTCTAGAACATGGCCATATAGCCCGAAAAAACCTAGAACAACCCAGTGATTCCGGCCATGAAAGTCTTCGAGAATACAATAAGAACTAATTCGGAGACACCATTCTGAAGATCAACGCCTACAATGACTAAACCATTAACTACCTACTTGCTAAATTGTAATTAAAACCTGCTAATGAGAACTGAAATGGTTGTCCTGCATAGTAAACTGCAATAAGAACTGTGTTAAGAGAAATGTTTACATCTGTCAACATTTGCTGACCAGAAACTGGATTAACTCTCAAGGAAATTATCTCTGTTTACATTATTAGGGGCAATGGTGCTAAGTTAAGGAACTGTTTACAAGGTTCCTTACGTTAAGAAGGAAGTCAACACAAGGCTCCTTACGTTTACCAACACCAATTAAGGAGAGTCAACATCTGTCAGGAAGAGATGAAGCCAGGAAGGTTGAGAACCATCATTTTACAGTGCATCTATACTGTTGAATTAATGCAGTTTGACACCACTTGAACTACCTTGAGTCCGTACCATGGAATGCTAGGAGCTGTAGTTTGGCAGAGAACGAAGGTTCGAGGCATTGTAAAACTACAACTCGCAGCGTTCAATGGAGTGGACAAGATTGCCTTCAAGACACTTTTTTATGATACAACTCAAGTTTAGGAACTAAACAAATCATTTATTTACCTCTATTATTTACCCAGAAAATCTACAGAAAACAAAAAGCTATCGCACTGAGCATGATCTATGAATTCATATCCTCAGGTGATCTTGAGTTAAGGTGCATCTACACTGCCGAATTAATACAGTTTGACACCACTGTAGCTCAAATAGCTCAATACTATGTAATTATTTGAGTTGTAGTTTTGCAGGTTCTTTAGCCTTCTGCTAGAGGGCCTCACCAAACTGCAACTCCAGCGATTCCATAGCAGTGGAAGGGGTGCCAAACTGGGTGAGCTCAAAACAGTGTAGATACACCCTTAGCCACCATCTCAGAGTGTTTCCACATTGTGTGACAACTCACGAACGGTGTCGTGACACACTAAAGTGTCGCGGCACCGTTCGTAAGTTGTGTGGCACAAAACATAACAAGTCGCTGCTGCATGTAGGTGAAAACAAGCAATAAATCATATATTTTAAAAATATATAAATGAAAGGTTTTCACGAGAGACGCTGTATAGCCATACATTTCGTTATTGGAATCACAGAATAACAGAGTTGGGAGAGATCGCATGGACCTTCCAGTCCAACCCACCGCCATGCAGGAAAAGCACAACCAAAGCACAAATGACTATTTATTTATAGCATTTATATTTCGCCCTTCTCACCCCGAAGGGGACTCAGGGCGGATCACAGAACAAATATTCAGTGCTGTTAAACATATAGGACAGACAACAGATAGAGGTTTTATGTCGGCATTTTTTCCCAACTTCAGTATCCTGGAGTTTGCGTTCGATTCTGGCCACAGGGGGGTGCTGTTGCTTCATCCTCTATGACAAAGATCCATGATCACAGACTTCCTCCTTCCTTTGATCACCAGGCATTTTCTGGTATTTCTTTTATGGTGCCGTAAGATACCTCCCCGCTTAATTTCTCTACTCACAGCTCACAGCTGTTTTCAAACTGCTTGGGTGTACAGTAAGCTGGGCTGAAGGTTGGGTGCTCATCTCGACTCTGGTTCCGAACTGCCAGCCTTTTGATTGATAAGATCTATTGCTGCTGGTAATTAACCAGCTGTGCTAAAGCCCAGCCCTCATCGGTGTCTATATCTCTTAACCTCAATAATAATAATAATAATAATAATCTTTATTTATACCCCGCCACCATCTCCCTGCAGGGGACTCGGAGCGGCTTACATGAGGCCAAGCCCAGACAACAAATTACAGCACAATAAAACTGAAAACGCAAACAATAAAGTTTGCTAGTCAAACTGAATTAGCGTCAGGGCCGGGCTTTAGCACAGCAGGCTAAGTAAATCTTGCCATTCAAACGGTTGACAGTTCAAGCACTGGTTGAGGTATGCTCCTGGTCATCAGCCCAGCTTCTGCCCAGCTGGCAGATTGAAAACAGCAAGTAGGTACCACTTTAAAAGCGAGGAGGTAAAAAAGGGCGCCCATAAAGGACATATAGTAGAATCTTGCTTATCCGACATAAACGGGCCGCCAGAATGTTGGATTAGCTAAAATCTCATAATACGGAGGGATTAAGGAAAATGCTATTAAACTTGAGCAAAGGTAGGAGGGAGGGAGCGGGGGCTCTTTACATCACTCCCAGGCTCCTCCCGCATGCGACCCCCCCCCTTGCCTCCTGCCTTCAGTGCCCTCTTTCCTTCCTTCCTTCCTTCCTTCCTTCCTTCCTTCCTTCCTTCCTTCCTTCCTTCCTCTTCCTTCCTTCCTTCCTTCCTTCCTTCCTTCCCTCTTCCATAAAGCAAACATTTCCACTGCCTTGCAATAGAGAAAGAGAGAGAGAGCTGGGCCAGGGCTGCAGGGAGAGGGGCAAGACGAGGATGGGCGCCGGGGTCAAGAGCACCAGAGAGCCAGGTCGGTGGAACAGCCAGTGCTGCGGGCAGCCTCAGTGAGGCTCCCCCTTTATCCGCATGGAAGCTGCTTCCCCAAAGTCTTGCCTGAGTTGAATGCAAGGCCCCAAGGAGGAGAGAAACAGCAAGGAGGTAAGCAGAGTCCAGAGCAGGAAAAGGAAGGAAGGAAGGAAGGAAGGAAGGAAGGAAGGAAGGAAGGAAGGAAGGAAGGAAGGAAGGAAGGGGAGGAAAGAGGGAAGGAAAGACAAAAGGGAGGGAGGGAGGAAAGTGGGAAAGAAAGGCAAAAGGGAAGGAAGGAAGGAAGGAAGGAAGGAAGGATGGAAGAGAAGGATGGAAGGAAGAGGGAAGGAGGGAAGGAAGGAAGGAGAAAGAGGAGGAGGGAGGAAAGAGGGAAGGAGAGAAGGGTGGAAAAGGATGGAAGGAAGGTTGGAAGGAAGGAAGGAAGGAAGGAAGGAAGGAAGGAAGGAAGGAAGGAAGGAAGGAGAAAGAGAGGGAGGAAAGAGGGAAGGAAACATGAAAGGGTGGAAGAGAAGGATGGAAGGAAGGAGGGAGGGAGGGAAGGAAGGAAGGAGAAAGATGGAAGGAGGGAGGAAAGAGGGAAGAATGAAAGGGTGGAAGAGAAGGATGGAAGGAAGGAAGGAGAAAGAGAGGGAAGGAGGGAGGAAAGAGGGAAGCAAAAATGAAAGGGTGGAAGAGAAGGATGGAAGGAAGGAAGGTTGGAAGGAAGGAAGGAGAACGAGAGGGAAGGAGGGAAGAAAGAGGGAAGAAAAAATGAAAGGGTGGAAGGAAGGGAGAAAGAGAGGGAATGAGGAAGGAAAGAGGGAAGAATGAAAGGGTGGAAGAGAAGGATCGAAGTGTGGAAAGAAGGAAAGGAGGGAGGGGAGCCTTGTTTGGACAGTTATGTCCAAAATGCAATTATCTGAAGAAGAGGAAGAGCCTTGTTTTTTTTTCCAAGCCAGAAGAAGTCAACGCGCGTTGGGTAATACAGAATGCCGGATAAGCGATTGTCGGATAAGCAAGATGCTGCTGTACTGACGATTCAATCGGGAGGCATCTACAGACAACAAAAAGTTCCTCGGCATTGAAGATGGAGCGACAGCACCCCCTGTGGTCGGAGTCGAGCACAGCCTCCAGATGCCGGAGATGGAAAAAGACGGGAAACCTTTACCTTTGTTTATGTCTTGTCCGTCTTTGTTAATTGCATAACGGCATCGAATGTTGGCCGTATATGTGTTCTGTAATCCGCCCCGGGTCCCCTGATGTAAATAAATAAATAAATGTTGCGGAATGGTGCGAAATGATGTCAAATGTCACTCGCTAACATGAAACGTTCGGAAAACTCTGCTCTATGGCGATGTGGCATGTCATCTTTTTTTTACAGTTGAGGAACCAAGAATTTCCTTTTGCTAGCAAGCTGGTTCAAAACCCAAAGTGGTTACACACAAATATATATGCGCTAGAAATGGGGGGGGGGGGATGTATTTATTTCTTTGCTGGGTAAGAGGGAGAAAATGCTAGATTTTAGGGAGGATTAATCCAGGCATGCCAGCGTTGCAAACTTCACAGCAGATTAAATGTTCCGTCGGAAACAGAAAGCGAGGAAAGAAACTTTGGGTTCAAAGACTTCCTGTAAGCCCACAACCTACACATTTTAAAAAACCAAGAAACACAGGGGGAGAAAAAAAACCCCAAGACGACAATCCCAACGACAGCAGCGCAAGGGCAGGTTGAAAAGGGAAGAGATTACAGTTATGTCCAAAATGCAAGCAGTTTCCAAACGCAGAGAACATTCACAGTTTGCATCTGAGGTTTAGGTCACAAGGATCACATAGCCATAAATAAGGTCACGAGAGCATTCACCCATCCAGGCAAAAAGAGAGAAAAGGGAAGGACAGAAATAAAAATCAAAAAAATACATTATTTCAAAAATAATTATCGTCATAGTCATCGCCGTCATACATTGCCAAGGATGAAGCGATGGATTCGTCAGAAATGGGATTTTGGTTTTTTATTTCGTCAGAATACATACGGAGATAATATTTTTTTTATACTAATAGAATATATTATTCTTTTCTTTCTTTTGTAACCTTTAGACACAATGCATATTAATATTATTATTATTATTATTTTTGTTTTGTTCCTGTCTTATTTACTTTAGCTTCGAATGGAGGGAGAAAGGATGAGAGGGAAAGGAAAGTTCACCGAAACACAAGTCAAGAGCAACGGGAGCGCAATGACCGGGAAACTGGGATATGTTGACCATTCAGTCATTGCATTTTGTTGTGTGAGCGATGGAGGGATCGGGAAAATGGAGGAAAGAAGGAGAACAAGTGGATTTCTTTAACTGCTGCTGTCTTCATCCGTTTTATTCAGTTTCTTCAACGTATCCAGCAGTTTCTGTGGGGTGAGAACATGAGTGGAGCCTGGAAAGAGCGAAGGGAAGACAAGGAAACACGGATTAGTTTGCGTTTCCCGAAACTCATCCGAAAAGTATAGGGAGAGGGATAGGGTAGGGAGATTTTCAATCGGATCACGATAATAATAGGAGGAAAGGGGTCTCAGGCCTCCCCCAAAACCACAGTAAAATCAAAATCAAACCATAAATCATAATAAATGGATAATTTGTTTATCAATGTATGTATTTTTATGGCATCGAATTGTGCCGATTGTGTACGCCGCTCTGAGTCGCCTTCGGGCTGATATGAGCGGGGTACAAACAATGCAAATAAATAAATAAATAAATAAATGATTATTGTGTTGCTGAAAGCTTTCATGGCCGGAAGCATGTCTGGCCATGTTCCAGAAGCATTCTCTCCTGACATGTTGCCCACATCTATGGCAAGCATCCTCAGAGGTTGTGAGGTCTTTTGGAAACTAGGCAAGTGGGTGTGTGTGTGTGTGTGTGTGTGTGTGTGTGTGTGTGTAATAATGTCCAGGGTGGGAGAAATAACTCTTGTCTGTTTGAGGTAGGTGTGAATGTTGCAATTTGCCACCTTGATTAGCATTTAATGGCCTAGCAGTTTCAAGGTCTGGCTTCTTACTGCCCAGGGGAATCCTTTGTTGGGAGGTGAAAACTGGCCCTGATTGATTCTGCTTTTTGGGTGTTGCTCTTTATTTACTGCTATGATTATAGAGTTTTTGGAACTTCTGGAACATGGCCATACAGCCTGGAAAACTCACAGCAACCCAATCGCTATGATTAGCATTAGATTAATAGATTGCTTTATGTTAGTATTTATGTATTGGCTCTGGCATGGAATGTTTGCCATCTTTTGTTGTAATACGCCCTTAGGGAGAGAGGGTGGAATATAAATATATTATTATTATTATTATTATTTATTATTATTACATAAATTATTATTATTATTATTATTATTATTATTATTATTATTATGTAACATGATTTTTGTTCCTGGGTTATAAATGTCATTCCTTAATTGGTTCTATCATAAAAACATGGGAAAAGTTTATTAAACTGCCAAAACTTTGTTTTTGCCAGAAGGACATCCTGCAGCACATTTGGTGGGGCTGGGCATAGCACAGCGGGTTAAACCGTCGTGCTGCAGAAAATCTTGCCGATTGAAAGGTTGGCAGTTCAAACTCTGGATGGGGTGAGCTTTAAGAAGGGAGATAATAAAAGGCACCCACAAGGACATGACAGAGATTCGATCAGGAGATCATCCATAGCTCCTTGGCATAGAAGATGGAGCGATAGCACCTCCTCGTGGCTGGAGTCGAGCACAGCCTCCAAATGCCGGAGATGGAAAAAGATTGCAAAATCCTATACCTCTGTTTATGTACTGTCTGTCCTTGTCAATTGTATAACGTCATTGAATGTTTGCCATATATATGTTCTGTAATCCACCCTGAGTCCCCTCGGAGAGACAGAGCAGAATATGAATAATGTATATTATTATTATTATTATTATTATTATTATTATTATTATTATTATTATTAATGGCGCAGATCCTACTGCACAGAAGTCATTGTGAATGCCTAACTCTGTATTCCTCTGCTGGCCCAATATTATTATTGTTGTTGTTGTTATTATTATCAACATCATGGGGCACTCTATAAAGTATTATTATTATTATTATTATTATTATTATTATTATTATTATTATTAATGGCGCAGATCCAACTGCACAGAAGTCATTGTGAATGCCTAACTCTGTATTCCTTTGCTGGCCCAAAACTATTATTGTTGTTGTTGTTATTATTATTATCATCATGGGGCACCCTACAAATAAATTATTATTATTATTATTATTATTATTATTATTATTATTATTATTATTATTTTATCTCTTGAGGCCCCCCAGTGGTGCCGTGGGTTAAACCACTGAGCTGCTGAACTTTCTGACCGAAAGATTGGCGTTTCAAATCCAGGGAGTGAGATGAGCTCCCACTGTTAGCCCCAGCTTCTGTCAACCTAGCAGTTCAAAAACATGCAAATATGAGTAGATCAATAGGTACTGCTTCTGCAGGAAGCTAACGATGCTCCATACAGTCATGCTGGCCACATGACTGTGGAGATGTCTATGGACAACGCCGACTCTTCGGATTAGAAATGGGAATGAGCACCACCCTCCATAGTCGGACACGACTAGACTTAATGTCAAGGGGAAACCTATACCATTGTTATTATTATTATTATTATTATTATTATTATTATTATTATTATTATTATTTTATCTCTTGTCTAACATATGGGGAAAGAGAGGTATGTGAGCCCATCAGTGGATATTGCCCATAATAGCTGAATCTGTGCTGTAAAATAATTCAGGGAGTGGGGTGAGTTCCCACTGTTAGCCCCAGCTTCTGCCAACCTAGTGGTTCAAAAAAATGCAATGTGAGTAGATCAATAGGTAATGGGAAGGTAACAGCGCTCCGTGCAGTTACGCTGGCCACATGACCTTGGAGATGTCTATGGACAATGTTGGCTCTTCAGGTTAGATATGGAAATGACCACCACCCTGGAGAGTCAGACACGATTAGACTTAATCTTAATGTCAAGGGGAAACCTATACCATTATTATTATTATTATTATTATTATTATTATTATTATTATTATTATTATTTTATCTCTTGTCTAATGTATGGGGAAAGAGGTCTGTGAGCCCATCAATGGATAACTCCCATAATAGCTGGATTTGTGCTGTCAAATAATCCAGGGAGTGGGGTGACTTCCCACTGTTAGCCCCAGCTTCTGCCAACCTAGTCTATGGACAACGCTTGCTCTTTAGCTTAGAAATGGAAATGAGCACCAGCCTCCAGAGTCAGACACAACTAGACTTAATGGTATAGGTTTCTAGGGGAAACCTATACCATTATTACTATTACTATTATTATTATTATTATTATTATTATTATTATTATTATTATATTATATTATTATTTTATCTCTCGTCTAACATGTGGGGAAAGAGAGGTCTGTGAGTCCATCAATGGGTAACTCCCATAATAGCTGGATCTGTGCTATCAAATAATCCAGGGAGTGGGGTGAGCTCCCATTGTTAGCCCCAGCTTCTGCCAACCTAGTCTATGGACAACGCCGGCTCTTCAGCTTAGAAATGGAAATGAGGACCATCCTCCATAGTTGGACACAACTACACTTAATGTCAAGGGGAAACCTATACCATTATTATTATTATTATTATTATTATTATTATTATTATTATTATTATATTTTATTATTTTATCTCTTGTCTAACATGTGGGGAAAGAGAGGTCTGTGAGCCCATCAATGGGTAACTCCCAGAATAGTGGAATTCCGCGTTACCACCTTACCTGTTGCCATGTCACCCAACAACGAACATCAACATTAACATCGTCATCAACAACAACATTATTATTATTATTATTATTACTGGAAGAAATGCTTGCAAAATGTAAGCCTATGGAGCTACAGAGACATCTAGTGCGGAAAAAAAGAAACCGAAATCAAAAGAAATCCCATGGAGGTCTCGCCAAGAACTACGTGCTCTAAACGGATGAGGCATGGGGTGTGCGGTCGGCTGTGGGTTCAAGTGAGGAAAGAGAGAGCGAGATTGAGAGAGAGAGAAAGAGAGAGAGAGAAGTGACGACAGCGTCTGTCATGATGAGTCCCGCGCATGCAGCGATGGAGCCGCCTTTGCAAAAAGAAGGACCGCTCCTTCCTCTTCCCATCGAGTGCAGAAGGGGAGAAGCCAAAGAAAACCAAACGCTGTACTATCTACACTTGAAAATGTGCAATTTTTTTGAGATGTGAAGAAGAGGAGGGTTGAAAAGGAAGGATAATAAAGAGATTATCGCTGGGATTTCGACTTTACCTATCTCTACCCTGGACAAAATCGGCACGAAACAAAAATATCTCTTGATTGTGACTTTTGGGAAATTGAAATCTCCATAACCTTTTAGAAAATGGTATTCCATAACCTTTTGGGAAAACAGGAAGCTTTTAGAAAGGCATGGCCTTGTTTAGAAATCATAACCTTTTGTAAAGAGCCGGGCTTTAGCACAGCAGGTTAACCACCAGCTGCAATAAATCTTGTCAATCGAAAGGTTGACAGTTCAAAGCCCGGGTCAGGGTTGAGAGCCGAACCTTCAGACCAGCTCACTGCCCACCAAGCAGCTGTGAGTAGATAAATATGTACCGCTTAAGCGGGGAGGTATTTTAATGGTACCATAAAGGAAATGCCAGAAATACTGGGGATTCGATCAAAAATGGCCGGGCTGTAGCACAACCGGTTAATCACCAGCAGCAATAGATCTTACCAATCGAAAGGTTGACAATTCAAAGCCCGGGTCGGGGTTGAGAGCCCAAACTTCAGCCCAGCTCACTGCCCACCTAACAGCTGTGAGTAGATATGTACCACTTAAGCGGGGAGGTATTTTAATGGCACCATAAAGGAAATGCCAGAAATACTGGGGATTCGATCAAAAATGGCTGGGCTGTAGCACAGCTGGTTAATCACCAGCAGAAATAGATCTTACCAATCGAAAGGTTGGCAATTCAAAGCCCCGGTCAGAGTAAGCACATGACCGTCAGCCCAGCTCACTGCCCACCTAGCAGATCAAAACCATCTGTGAGTAGATAAATATGTACCACTTAAGCGGGGAAGTATTTTAATGGCACCATAAAGGCAATACCAGAAATACTGGGGATTCGATCAAAAATGGCCAGGCTGTAGCACAACTGGTTAATCACCAGCAGAAATAGATCTTACCAATCGAAAGGTTGGCAATTCAAAGCCCCGGTCAGAGTAAGCACCTGACCGTCAGCCCACCTAGCAGATCAAAATCATCTGTGAGTAGATAAATATGTACCACTTAAGCGGGGAGGTATTTTAATGAGCCCATAAAGGAAATACTAGAAATGTTGTAGATTCGATTAAAAATGGCTGGGCTGTAGCACAACTGGTTAATCACCACAAGCAATA